ATGTCTTATCTCTTAAAATCAACCAACACACTTGTGTTTCAAATTTTTAAAAGAGGAACTATGTGTACCCTGATCCCCTATTACACGAAATATGGTACGTAGGCACTAAAGGTTCGCAACCGCGGCGGGTGCAAAAATCATAAAAAATATATTTCTTTTCTCACCTCCACCATCCATTTTATATACAACACATTTCATAGCCAAAATATACAAATTTTACAAAGAGGTTCCTGCGGAGTATCGTAGATGATTAGGGTTCTAATACCTTCCCTTTGCATAACCAACCCCCTTACCTTGAATCTTTCGACTTTTTTTGGGTTATTCGCTCTTTTCCCATTCCTTTGGAAACAATAAAGCACGGTGGCGATTTTTATTTTGATTTGTATAAAGTCTAGTCAATCCAATGGCTTAGTCTTAAACATTTCTACCGCTATAGAAAAATGGCGACTTCACTGGGAAAGATTGACCTCTTGCTGGTCCATCCCTAAGTGGGTTGAGCCTATATTTGTTTATATATGTATATGTGTTATTGTTGTTTATGTGTTATATTTTGTATATATGTTTATTTGGATTTTCCTGGTTTTCAGGGTGCTTGGTGATTACTCATAAGTCCTATACCCGGACTTGGGCAAACTTTAAGATAGGATAGGCGGTATAGTCATGTTAACTTTGAGGGAGTAATCCCAAAAAAGGAGGCATGAGATCCCCCACTCAGTGGAGGCCCCTTTGACTATAGTGTCTTTTACCGAGTAATCGGGAAGACGTACTGCTTTCGACCTAGGAGCCTGCTGAAACTGAGGACCCTAGAATACCAAACCCATCTTGGCCTTTTAGGTGTAGTGCGGAAGCTATGACGGAGTAATCGGAAATAGTTATCACGCGATACTTCGCTCGGACAAGTCTTTCTTGAGAATATTACTAATTACCGAGTTAATCGGGAAGTTGGTAATATCCGAAGGAAGGATGTAGACTCTGGGAACCTCTAGAACCTTGTTCGGCAGGTGATAACTCTTAGACCAACACCTTATGGGTAGTACCTTCAACCTCATGCTCGTGACTATGAAACTATGAACCCTATATGTGTAATCTTGTGTGTGATTGTTGCATCATGCATCCATGCACTCATAAGCATCTTTTGAAGAAAACAATATTTCAAGGGATTTAAAGGTTGACTATTTGTGAATATCTCAGGTACTGTTAACCATGGATTCTGGAAAGAGAAAGACCAGGAAATACAGTTTCAAGGATCCCAAGATAGATGAGTTGATCAGTCTAATCCTCGAGATCGAGTGTTCTGCAGACTTTCGAAAGAAGTATGGATCCATTATTCCTCTCATGAAGCTGAAAATGAAGGAGGGTATTCTCTCGACCTTGATCCAGTTCTATGATCCGATGTATCACTGCTTTAATTTTCCCGATTATCAGTTGATGCCTAGACTGGAGGAGTATTCTTATCTATTGGATTTACCCGTTACCGATTGTGTTCCTTTTACTGGTGTGGAGGGTGAGCCAAAACCACATGAGATTGCTGCTTTGATTCATCTGGGGAAGTCTAAGGTGGAAGCCCATATGACTACTAAAGGAGGGATTAGAGGATTACCAGCTCAGTTCTTATTGGAGAAAGCTTGTTACTTTGCCAGAATGAAGAGTACAATTGCTTTTGAGGCCATCTTTGCTCTACTTGCTTACGGGATATTCTTATTTCCTAATGTGGACAAGTTTTTCGACATTAACGCTATGAGGATTTTCATGATTGGAAACTCGATTCCTACACTGTTGGGTGATGCTTATTACTCTGTTCATCTTCGAAGTTCCTATTATGGGGGAGTGATCATCTGTTGCACGCCTCTATTGTACCGGTGGTTCATTTCTCATATGCCTCAGTCTGATGATTTTTGGGATGTCAAGAAGGAACCCCGTTGGGCTCCTAAGATCATGGCACTTACTCACACGGATATTGATTGGTACCATCGAGCTTATCAGGAGGTGGAGATTATTGACAGTTGTGGTAGTTTCCCTAATGTACCGCTTCTTGGTACAAAAGGGGGAATTAACTATAACCCTGTTCTTGCACGGCGACAACTTGGTTATCTGATGAGGGATAAGCCAAACAGTATTCATTTGAGTAGTTTCTTTCCGAAGGAAGGAGAAGACCACAGGGAAGCTAGGGAGAAAATTGCGAAGGCCTGACGTCACATTCATAAGAAGAGTAAGAAGGATTTGGGACCTAGGGGTGTTGTTTCTTTGGAGCCATATCTTCAGTGGGTCCAATCAAGAGCCATTAAGTTGAAGATGTCGTATACTCGGGATACACCCATGCATGATCTATTTAGGAAGACCACTCCTCCCTTATTAGACGATCTAGAAGAGCTGCAACTTTCTTTGGTTAGGATGCAACATGAGAGGGATGCTTGGAAGAACAAGTTCCAGACTTTAGAAGGTTCCTACAGAGCAGACGTGAAGGAGAAAGACGATTTGATCGAGATCCTTGAGAGTCGGGCGGTAGAGTCTATGGAGAGGCAAGGGGATTTATTTTCTCCTAAGCCTCAAACAGGTGTTGATTACTCACTTTCTGATCCAGATAATTGGAGGGAGGTTGCCATCAGACATGTGGAAGAAAACCAGAGGTTGAGGGCTCAGATTGCCAGGCTCACCAAGAGGCGCCAGCGTACAGATTGATCTCCATCAGTTCTTTTACTCAGGATTTTAGATTGTATTTTCATCTTGTACTTGGGATCATTGAAACTTGTAATCCATTTTGAAGTTATTATAATAAAAAATTTCAGTATTTCAAAAGCTTTATTACTTTGATGTTTGCAATATGTCTATAAATATTAAATCCCTTGAAATATTAAATAATGAAGTAAAAATAATCACATGCGTTGCATATCATGCATCATATTGCACATATTTCTTGAATTTGTTATGCATATCCAGGTGCCTTACCCAGCTTTTTACTTTATTCAGCAAGCTAACTCATCGCTACAACACTCAGGCTAATTTCAAAAAGAAGATGAACAACTTAGAACAGGAGAATCGCGAGCTACACAAAGAAGTTTATGCTTTGAAGGATGGCTTGGACAACTTGACTACTCTGATGGAAGCTTTGGTGGTTGCTCAGAATCAGCCACTGAGTGTTCAACCTCAACCAACAAGGGCAAATGCTGAAGTTCTGCCTGTTCTTGTATCCACTACTCCGACTGTTGTTCAAAACCGTATGCCTCAAGGTTATCCGTGGGGAATGCCAGAGAATTTTTCACCTGAAGGTTTCGATCTTGGCCCTCAAGATGCTCCGGTGGTTCAGACTGTTGTTACTCCAGCACCTCCTGTGGTGCATACTATTTCTGCTGCACCTCCTTCGGTGAATTTGGTTCCGTTTGTTAATGAAGATGTGTGTCGTCCTTTCCCTCCTCCGAGTGAAGACTTGGGTCTTTATGACAGAATGGATGATTTTCAAGAGCAGTTTGATAGAATGCAAAGAGAGATGAAGGCTCTTAGGGGAAAAAAAAGTTATTTGGGCAGAATGTGAATGAGTTGTGTTTGGTCCCGAATGTAAAGGTGCCTGCTGTTGCACCCCAAAATTTGCCCTCCTAATTTCTTTTATCTGACTTAGACTCTTGAGTTCATCTGTATATATTCCATTAGGTCATTAACATACATTTGCATTCAATAAAGCGCTTGAGGTTCGAAGTTCGGTGGCTGTGCGATATTAGGGTTTCGCAATGGATAAGGTTTCGTATCCAATAAGGCATGATTCTTCTATCTTTCAAGCAGTGAAATATGGAACTAGGGTTGCAACTATGCTTATTGAGGGTTCCGTATTCTTCAAGTTAAGGGGGTCATTACTCATTCAGATACATTCAAGACAAGAATCAAAGTATTTCTCCACCAAGGTTGCGCTTGTCAACATTTTTTCACCAAGTTTGTACTTGTCAGCATTTCATCGACTGAGGTTCATTAGGTTTTCTAAGTTATGCCCATCTTGGTAATATTTCTTTTTGTATCCCCATGTTCACTTCCAAGTTGTTCTACGAGGTCATCTAAGAGCTACTAAATCAGGCATTCATTATCCCCTTGTGCTCAATATCCTCCTTTGATTAGAGTTTATTTCCCTATGCTTGGGATTGTTGGATGAATTTGGAAGGACTAATAGTCAAAGGTTCTTCGTCAATGACTAGCTAGGGTTTTTCTTTCGACCTTTCTTTGTAAATTGAAAGAGGGAACTTATTACTTAAGTCACAAGCTAGGTGATCGGAAACTTCATACAAAAACCAAATGTGGATATACTGGTTCCCACTTTACCGTTGGATCTTTGTTTATCATTGATTCAAATAAATTCTTTCAATTAGCTATGATGTTTGAGGATCAAGATGTCACATTGCTTAGGCCATACAAGTTATCTCTTTGGTTCTCACACGAGGCTTTGAGTTGAACGTGGTGTATTGGATCATAGTTGCATCCAAGATTTTGACAATATCTTACTTGAGTTCCTTTAATTGACTGAGAGTATCTGATCTCATGATGTGTTATATTAAAGGATGCAATTTAAAGCTAAATTTGAAAGGTTAAAACAAGCTTTTGGAGCGAAAGAAAGATTCAAGCCATATTTCATCTCCAAGATACCAAGTATCACAAAACTCATCCAAGAAATATTGAAGAATCCGAATAAAATACAACAATTGAAAGCAAGGTTCAAGATTGAAAATTGGAGAAAATATTAGATGCTTGAAGATTCATTCAAATTAAAGCAAATGAAGGAAAAAAATTCAAATTTACGTTTGAGAAAGAGAACATTACATTTCCAAAGCACTAGTCTATTATAATTTCACTTCCTTCAAGTCACATTGCAAGTTCTATTACAAAAATTCAATACCAGATTACAACCCACTACACCATCTTACATTACATCATTGAGCAAAATAAAAAAAGTTACACAAAGCTACACTAAATCTATCTTGCCTAAACATTAGCTCCATTATTTTCCATGTTATGGCTTCAAGATGCCAATAATCAGACTTGGCGTTAGGCGAATGCAAGGACAAGAAATCAAATATCTCATTATCAATTCAATCAAAATTGGTTATCATCATTTTGATTGTGCTGCTGATTACAAGAACGAAACTGAAGTTGGAGAAGCGTTTAAAGAAGCTTTTGATACTGGATTTGTCAAGAGGGAGGATATTTTCATTACCACTAAGTTATGGAACTCTGATCATGGACATGTTGTTGAGGCTTGTAAAGATAGTCTTAAGAAGCTTCAGTTAGATTATCTTGATTTATATCTTGTTCACTTTCCTGTTGCCACAAGGCATACTGGGGTTGGTACCACTGATAGTGCTTTGGGTTAAGATGGTGTCTTGGATATAGATACAACCATATCCTTGGAAACTACATGGCTTGCGATAGAAGGTCTTGTCTCATCGGGCTTGGTTCGTAGCATAGGGATCAGCAACTATGATATCTTTCTGAATAGAGATTGCTTAGCATACTCCAAGATAAAGCCTGCTGTGAATCAAATTGAAACTCACTCAACTGCCAAACAGAAATCCATAACTCCTAACAAATTTCTAACTTGAAACTAACTGTTTCAATTAAACTTCCTAACCATAACAGAATTATAAAAAAAAAACGAAAATTCACCGTGGTAGGCAGGATTTCTTCAATCTATGCAAAAGAATCGCCAAGAAACATTCTCCTATGCTCTCATATTCATTCTTCTCCACATCATCTTCATGCACTCAACATTCACCATCATCACAGCAAGCTCTCACAGGTCTGGACAAAAAAAAAACCTCATTACAGTTGCCCAAGCAAAACAAAGCTCATTCTCAGGAGGAAACTCCTAACCCATCCACCTGTTAGGCCCTGCATAGAAGGATAGAAAGCAGAAATCAGTTAACAGCTCAGTCCAACATCTTATTAACAAACCGTTAACAAACTTCAAAATAGTTTTCTAACTGTTTCTAACAAACTTCAACAAAAAATCCCAACTTACTAACAACCTACATAACAGAATTTTCTAACTGCATCCTAACAGTTTCTAACTACCTAACCAACTCCCATCTTCTAACCAATTCTCAGCAATCCATATAAGAGGATCCAATTTCAGAGTTACAGAGGACAAATTCATTTTTTTTAACTCTACAGAATAGATAAAAATATAATTTTTTTTACCAATTCAGATTGATTCTGCAATTCTGCAGAAGAGTCTCCATAAACCTCTTCCTTCTTCCGTTCCCTTCATCTTCATCTTCATCTTCCTCGTTTCTTAATCCACCATTTTCTCTCCATTTTCATAAAACTGCAACAACTTTCTGCAAACTCAATCATCTTCCGCAAATCTTCATTATATACCTTCTCTGCATCAACGATTCAACAACAACTTCAATCTGTTCTTTGCAACAACTCCGTAATCTTCAACAAAATTTCCTCAATCTGCATCACAGAAAACAACAACAACACGTTGTGGCAGCATTTCTGCATCAAATCAGAAATCAATTCATGAATCTTGTAATAGCATTAAGCAACAACAACTAAACTAATGCGATAACACCGATATCATCACCATCTTTGTATTTACTTCAATACGTATCAAAAAAAGGAAATAAAAGAAGGGCGCCAGAAGAAGAAGAAGAAAAAGGAAACAAAGTGATACCTGAAGTTGATCTGTTCTGAGAAGATCATCGCCGCCCCGCCGTCGATTTAGGATGCACGGTTCGAATTGATAGAAGTCGAAGACGGGCACGAGAAGAGGTGAGTGCATCGATCAACAACGAAACAAAATGAAGAGATCAGAGCGTCTCGTTCTTGTTGCTGCCTTGGTTGTATTGCGAGTTTGAGGAAGCACATTGAAGAGGTGACAAAGATTGACGATGGCTTTTTGACTTACGGTGGTATCCAGATCGGAAAACGGAGGAAACAACGCCAAGAGGTCGAAGAAACAAACAGAGACTACCAATCAAAACCGAAAATGCGATGAGGATGATCGGAAGATGACGTTGGTGGCGTGAAAGACCATCCCTTAATGCAGAGAAATGAAACGAAGATGGGGAAGAAGTGTTGGCGACACTGTTGTTCACGAAAGAGAGGAAGCAGAATTAATTTCAGATGAGGAGCCACAATAATTCTGAATCCTAGGTCATGTTTTTTCCCCAATATTATATTTATTCTTATTATCATAATTTCAATAGCAATCAAGTGAAAAATGTTGATGATGGCTCAAATAGCAAGGTTGTTGAAATTGGAAAAGTATGGACCGAAGTTTAATGATCCCAAGCCTATAAAGGAAATTTTTGGGCAGCTTTTGAATTGTGAGTAACAAAAAAACTCTTATGGGCTTTTCAACATGGGCTAGCGTTATTCACACTACTGTTCCAGTTCTCACCCTCTCTACCGGGCCTGTGTCCTGTTTTGGGCAGCATTTTTATTGAGAACAAAAATGGCTGATTGGATCTCTATTAGTTGGGCCTTAGCGCCAATATTCTACTATACCCCTGGATTCCAGCATACACCCCCCTGAATCTTCTAACTTCTTTTCTTATTTTAGTTTTTTCTTTTAGCTTAATTTTTTCTCTTAATTGATAATAAAATGATACAAAAATATTAGAACATTTTAGAATTATTTAGGAACTCTCTTTATTTATTAGAGTTTTTATTTTCATATTTGTTAATCATTTTTGTTGTCATTTTTAACTAAGGTTTTGTGATAGAATATTGATGCAACTTTTGCAATATGGATTGCTCGGGGTTAATTCCTCAATCACTCGTTCAAGGAAACTTTGGTAGAATTTTCTTACCGCTTGCACGGTTTCGAAGAGGCAACAGACCTCCTTCATTCGGTATCGTCACAACCCTATTTTATTCTTCATTTCTGTACTTTACCGTAATCCATGTGCATGCTAACATTAGGAAGATGTTTCCCTTTCATTCATCCTTGACATAGGGCTACTAACGCATGATAAAATTAGGTTTAGAAATAGACTAGTCTCCCTGTGACTTTTCTTTCCCTTTTTGCATACGCATCTAAAGCTAAAACTCTTTTTTTTCAAACTTCAAAAATACATAAAAATTTACTGACAAGAATCATGTCTTTGCTAAGTTTGGGAGATGATAAGCGGGTTTCTTCTCGATCTTATTATTCTCTTATTCTAAGGCTTGGCATGGTTCAAGTCTCAAAAAAATTATTTCATGAATAAGTAGAGACATGGCTAAAATCTCTCTCTCTCTCTCTCTCGAGATTAACTAGCTATTATCTACAAGAAAAAACACCAACCAATACAAACTCCTGTTGCCTTCGGGCCTTCCTTTCAAAACCTTTTTCAAAAGAATATATTAATTCACTTCTGTGCTAACGCGTAAATCTCCAAAGGTCGAGTTGCGGTAGAAGGCGAAATTGCTATCGTTCATTTAAAACACAAACAAAATTCAAACCTTTTTGTGCGCCCAAGCATGTTTTCTCCAAACTTTTTTTAGAAAGAATATGTTAATTCACTTCTGTGCTGACGCGTAAGTCTCCGAAGGTCGAGTTGCGGCAGAAGGCGAAATTAATGTTGTTCATTAAAAAATACAAACCGACAAAAACATATAAGCCGAACTACGGCTGCTCTGATTCCTTAAAAGGGATACATAGGCATCGGGGTAGGGCCTGAACGAGCACAATCAATTTTATTTTCCCTACATTTTTTACCATTTCTTTTGCATGCATTCTCCCTTTAGCAGTAATAAACAGTAAGCATAGATTAAACACACCCATAAGATAGACAACAAGAGTGGATACCGTAGAGTACTACGGGCGTGTGGGGTGCTAATACCTTCCCCTCGCGTAACAGACTCCCTTACCCTTATCTCTTGGTCGTTCGACCTTGATTTCACCCTTCTCAGGTTTTCTCGATGTTTACCTCTCCCTACACGTGGGATGAAAGACGTTTGATGGCGATTTCATTGTTTGATGATTTTCAGCCGGTTGTTTCAGCTGGCGACTTCATTGGGGACAGATTGACCTCTTGCTGGTCCATCCCAGAGTCACTCCTAGCTCTTGCTTTCTTTTCTTTGGGTGTTTATTTATATGCTTTCAGTTTATTCATTCATTTTGTTTATCTGAGCATAAGTTTGCATTGCATTTTATTGCTTTCCCTATTAGTTATCTATTATGCTGGATCTGCTTCTTGTTTGGCCGGGAATGTTACTATTGAGGTAAAAGGCCCAGTACCCAAGCCAGAGTGCACTAGGACACTAGGGATAGAGTGGCGGCATGGAGGCTATAGGACGTGGTCCGATTAGTGCAGTTATGTCATATACCACGCTCGAATGAGGTTCAAATGAATTGGTATCGGCATCCACGTCTGTGGGTAAGCCCATAACACTTTCAGGCAAACCCGTGATTTTCGAGTTACCATTGCCTTACCCTGACCTAGTCTTCACCCGTGAGTGGGGAGGGAATTCTTATTACAGGTACAATTGGTGACTATGTTCAGATGGTTACCCATGCTCAGATAGAGACTGTGATCAGACAGTGACTAATGGTTCTAATGGCTATGTTCTGGATTCCTGTTATGACTTTATGCAGATGCTATATCCTGTTGGTGACCGTATGGTTCTCAAATTTATTTTCTGAGTTCCTGACATGTTTACCTGGAGATTCATTCGGGCCTCCGATCTTGGTATTCCCAGCATATTCAGAAAATGCTCAGCGGTATTCGATGTTCCAGAAGCCTTGATCCCGTACAATGGGAGATCTACATGGTACTTGTTTCTTATATGTGCAGAAGCTATGTCAGACCTTTGATCTGATGATACTCACATGGTTCAGAATAGTGCGACAATCATATTCATAAATGATGGAACCTTGATCCTCTTTGATCTCATGCCTTTGCATACATAACATAGTTAACCACTTACTTAACATACATGTTCTGTTATTTCCAAGGAATCATATTTGTAAGCCTTGTGCCAATTTTTTTTACGTAAAATCAAAATCAAAGCACGTAAATTCCTTGGAAATAACGGAACATGACATGGCAATTGTTCATGCATCCCATGTATATTCATGCATCCATAACAGGTACTCGAGGATTGGGGATTCTTGCTCAGACCATGTGTTTTCTTCAGAGGTTCAACTTGATTCTTACTATCACATGCTCAGAGATCAGTTATGGAATAACTCTGGGTATACATACAAGCTTCGGCCCGTGGACAAAAATCTCCTCAAGCAGGAAGATAATTGATTGAAAACTCAGATGAGCCAGGTCATGAAAGCTCTGATGACGATGTCAACAATATTGCACCTACTATCACAATAAAGGTTCTCTCTTCTCCTCATCTTTTGGGAATTACTTCCAACCATGGAGTG